GGAAAAATAGAGGACTCTATATGGTGGGGAAAAAGAAAAGCAGAAACGTGGCAAGTTAAACATGTGAATCTCCCTAAAAGGCAATTTTTTTCCTGCGTAATATTTCGAAGCCTCTGTCAATATTTGCCAGCCAGAGCGCCATCATCATCATCATCTGCAGTGGCGCGCAGGCAAACAGAACAAAAGTCTACATCAACATCAATTCCTGGGATGTGAGACGGGGGCGGAAGGGGACACAGACGTAGAACCGAAGCTAACGTCAAGTCCAAATGGGGAAAAAACCAATCGGCAAATAAACAGAAAGACAGAATCAACAAAAAGTATGACACAATGTTGCAATGTGGCAGGGGAACCAGAATACAGGAGCCGCAAAGTGCAGGAGGTTGAGTGTGGTTAGATACTTGAGCAAAGTGTAGGAGAAGCTAAACAGAATAATGCGTAAATTGTTTAGGTAGGATTAAATGAATAAAAGTAATAGGAATAAAAAGAAGGGGATCTCAGTAATAAATCAGGTATATCCTTTAGAAAAATATTATATTTATTGCTCCGCTACTTAGCTTAGTTATATTTTTTAAATCGTGTTTGAAAGGCGCACCTCCCAATGCACCAAGAATTTGCTCGCTCTATTATCAAAAAGATGATGAAATCGCAAACACACCGAGAAAGTGCGATACGTTGCGTATACGTAACCGCTGAATTATTGCGCATACGAGGTGTTTGCACAATTTGCCACGTGATTTCCCATTAATTAAATGCGTTTGCAAATTATGAAAAAAATGAGAAATGTAAAAATACTCTAAAGAGCAGAACCCAGACAGACGCCACAGGAAGTAAAGTAGAAAAAAAAGAAAATTCAAATGGGATTCTCTCCGCCAGGTTGTTGTTGGTGGAATGCACTCGCTTCGCTTAAAGGTCAAACGACATCCTCATCATCGACATCATCATCATCATCATCGCGATGGGAAAAACGCTGCTGCCTGGGCGAGGTCGACGTCGCTGTTTTCTCTGTCTGCGGTTTGTTTCAGTTTTTCAGCTTTTATTTTTTCCTCTGCGTTTGCTTCTTTGCATTTAGCTCATTCATTTGCATTCCCTGCTGCCACTGCCTCTCGTTTTTTGCCTGTTTTTCCGTCTGTTGCCGTGCGCAGTCTAGCTGCAAACAAAAAAAAAAAAGAAGAAAAAAAAAATGAAAAAGAAAAATACGAAATAAAAGGGTTGGCCTCTCGTAGGGGAATCAAAAAAGGGGTAAAAATGCTGATGCTAAAGAGCGGGCATTCCGACTTTTCATCTTCTGCGCCAGACAACATTGTAATATTTTGCACAAACTAGACAAAATTTGTTGCCAAAAAAACAAAATCAGCAGAAATAAAAATAAATAGAAAACCGATTGCAGACGAAACTGACGTCAGCTGATGATGCGGCTGGCTCTACTTCCTATATTGGCTGTAGAAATTCCTTTCGAACCAAGGCTAAATATTTCACAAGATTCAGAACTAAATTAAATTATTTTTTTTATACTAAATTTTAACAAAAAGTTCTTGATAATATTTTTGTTTACGCTTAGAAATGCTTAAAACCAGTTTGGAGTCTCGTGACATGTTCTACTTTTACGATTTAATTTTCAGAATAAAATTTTCCATTTCATTTATTAGTTTGTTGATATTTTGTTATTCAAATATTCTTTCTTATAAAGCCAAAAAAACTTTGCCAGATCCCGTTTAATCCAATGGTATAAATCGCACTTAAATTGCATCAAAATATCACACAAGATGCCGAGAAAATCTAAACTTCAAACAACACAAAGATACACAATTCAACTGGATTTTTCAAGTTCAATGTCACCTCAATGTATTATGATTGCTGAAGCTGATGATAATGCCTTTAGTTAGTTTATGAACGCGTAGAGAATGCGACGATCCTCGCACAACCTTGACATCCAATCAAGGTGTCAATGGCATTGCCTTCAAATGCTTTTTTTTCGGGCCGGTGTACGCGGACTTTATGGGGCATTTTTTCGGAGGGGGATCAAGTACTGCACTTGACTGTCATTAGCGCGGTGATCATAATCATTAAATTAATAACTTTTGTTGTGCGCCAGAGCAAGAAGGAAAGTTGATCGAAAGTGATCTTCTTTCCCGGCTTGAAACGCGGCACTTAATCAAATGCAATTGTCATCAAAAAAAAAAGAAGGAAAATCCAAAGGACAGAGTTTTGATTATCCCCCTCGGTCAAGGAACCTAGTCAAATAAATGGAGAGAGATCGTAACAAGTTTCCCCACGTTTTGTAAGCTTGCCCGCTGTCCGTTCAATGTCCGTTCGTTGTCCGTTCCACTATAAAAATAGCCATGAAAGCCGTTTGGTCGCGGCTATGGATCTCTGAAAGTGTTAGCCAACTGTCTGATCTGTCTGGTCTGGCTGGTCCGATTTGATGTGGTTTGGCCGGGTGCGAGTATGAATGCGATATACGGGGTCTGGGGTCTGGGGTCTGGCATTCGACGATTTGCGTCTGGTGTGATCAATTCAAATATTGAATCTGTATTCGCTCAATTATTTTAGCACTTTTTCAATAGTTGGCGGGCACACGTGCGTCAGAGGTTCCAATCGAATAGAAACCGGCGGACAGTTGAACTGTTGCCAGGTATTCCTTTCTCTTTCGCGACATGCTTTTATAGGGTATCAGGTGATTTGTCTAGCTGGTTGTACCTGTACGAGTGTGTATATATTTTGAATGCATGTTTGTGCGGCGGCTCCAGACGTAAACGAAGTCCCCCAGACGTGCTCAATCATTTCACCTGCGATAAAAATAATTGCAACAAGCTGAAACGAGCGGCACAATTAAAAAATACAAAATAACGATCAAACACATGGAATGATCAAACGATGAAGTACCCTCTGAGTCTAATGGAACCGGCTTTAATACCGCTGTCTAGTTTTAAGATTGTTAAAATTTAACGATCTGATGGGTATAGTAAAATCGAACTATAAATGGAAACTTCCTAAGCCTCGTAAATGTCTTAGATCTTCAAACGTAAACCAAGACAAACTTAGAAATGCAAGATTATTATGTCTCGAAAGATAGGAAACTTTGGCAATCGTAATCTTATGACTAAATACATTATTGCAATAATATTTAAAGCTTATGCCCGTGACCTTGGCGATAATATTTGGCTTTAAAGTATTTAAAACCACGTCATTTCCGTAGATATCAGCTTTTGTCACGCTCCACAGTTCGCGGTACAGGGTAGCTGAGCAGGCAAAAATAATTATCAGAAAACAAAGGCCATAAAAGGCAGACCGAAAGCAAATGACAGGCAGCCAGGTTGAGTCACCTGAGACGGTTGAATCCGAGTGACAGCGGCTGGGAATGCGCAAAAGTCTAAAGTGCCACTTGTTGTTGTTGTAGGTAGAGTAGAGTGGAGGTACCTGTTAATATTAGTTTTCTTTCTTTTTTTTTGTTTTCTCTGTCGCTTGGCTTGAAGTCAGACAGTCATAGAAATTGTTGACATATTTTAATTGGTTGCCTTCGTTGTTTGTGCCGTTTCACTACGTAGTACGTACATTTTAATTTCAGTTGATTAACTCCAGTCTGGCATTTGCTTAACAATTCGTTCATGTCTGTCTCGCTGTTATTTTTTTATTTTCTCCTTTCTCATCCATCCATCAGAAATCATAAATTAATTAAAAACCTAATACTTATGTTTTCATTCACCGATCGTTGGGATAGACGACTTTTACCTACATAGCTGCGTCATTTTTGCCTTGATGAAATTGCGCTGCGGATCGGTGTTGTTTTTGTAACCGTATATCAGAGACGAAGCGTCATGATATATTCACTATATGTAGTTGTAAAATCTTGTTGCGCAAGCTTTTCGCGTGTATCTGTATCTCAGTCGGCGGCGAGAGTATCGGTATCTGTGTGCGCTGCTCGGTATCTGTATCTGTGAGTTTGCTCCGTTACAGGGTCTGCGACCGCGACGGGTGGCCTCCGTCTGTCTGCCATTCTATCAGCAGCGTCTGGCCGGGCCATATCGTCTATATAATACCCATTACTAATTGAAGCGTTTTGGCTTTACCAAAAGGGTGATCTAAAAATAGACGGTGAAAGCTTGTAAAGTTACCAAAATAGAACTGGTATTACAAAGGTTCTAAGTGACTGCCACTTTTGGCACAAAAGATCGGAAATTGGATTATTTTTTGGCGGTTTGGGGATTTCTTTTTCGGGGAATCACATTTAAGTGTAAAAAGATTATTACAATCTAGAACAGAGATTACAGGGTACCTCATGTGTCAATCAATCCCTTCGTTGGGTTCTTTTTTTTTATCGAACTGCTGTCCGCCTACATTTGCTGGCTCGCTCGCACTTACTGCGCCCCGATTGCGCATGTGTGCTTGTATCACTTAAGTCGTCTGCTATCTAGTCTAGACGCAGACGACCGTATATATGTAGGCCTGTGTACGTATACCCGTATGCCCGTTTGTCCGTCCGTAGACGTAGACATTGCACGGGGTCTTTCTACAGTTCTACAGGGCGAAACCGTCGAGAAAGAGAGTCGCGCACCTTGTAGATACGGATGGAAATTCGTGCGAGTATCTACGAAATACGACAGTTTCACGGGTTTTGCTCTTTTTTTTACATTTCGCTTCTCTTTCATTGTTATTTGGTCGGTGCTGCGGGCCGCATTCGCTTTGTTTCGTTTATTTATAGTAATTAAAAACGGTTCGTGAGTGGGAATAAGTTATTTGAAATTGTAAAATAAATAAGCCGAAAATTAAGAACGAATTTTTTAGTTACAAGCGAGTGAAGGGAAGATCGAATGTTGCAGAAAAAGGAGCTTTTTGTTGTGATATGAGATAGGTAATCTTTAGGTTTAGATTTCATACATAATAAAAAAAATTTAGGGGATAAATTAAAAATAAAAACCTAGAAAATAATGAAAACCTATATAATAATATTTATAAACAGTTTATAACAACTAATATTTATTTTCCGCCTTTCTTTTTAGGTCGCTTGTTGCTAATCGCCATTAGTTTATCCGTGTGCCTGGCCTGTGGCAGTGTGTTGGTGGCCGCGATTGCCCTGCGCCGCTCTGCCAACGCAACAGCAACAGCAACACTAGCAGCAGCAACATCGACGACGACGGCAGCAACATCAGCGGCAGGAGCAGCATTGGAAGCGGCAACAACGCGCAGGATACGGCACAAGCGTCGCTCGTCGCAACGACGGCGGAGCAGCAACAACGCAGTGCTGTCATCTGGGATTGGAACTGGGATTGGCATCGGGATCGGAATAGGAATCGGAATCGGGCCTGGACTGGAAACCAATTCGGCTCTGGCCCTGCCACTAGCAACACCATCAACATCGGGCTCCACAGCAGCGGATCAGACAGCTGTAGCCGCCGCAGCAGCAGCAGCAGCAGCAGCAACAACAACAGCAGCAACAGTATCGCAAGCAGCAGCAACAGAAACAACAACACTTTTGCCAACCGAGCCGGAACATTCTGTACCCGTAAGTACTTTTCCCTTAGCCAAAGCAAAACAAAGAAAAAGTAAAGAAAAAGGAAAGAAAAACAAGAAAATACGGGAAAGAAAAGGAAGAGAAAAAGTTTTGAAAACTGCCGATGGGTGGAAAAGTGGGTGGTATGTCTGTCTCTAAAAATGCACTCGTCGAAATTATTGAGTGTGACTAGAACGTACTAAAATGTATACGATGATTTAGTTATAAAATATCTCTAGAGATTTAAAAACTTCCAAAAAGTTGACCAGAAGTATGCAACAAAAATATGACAAAAGGATTTTCTTACTAAAGTATATCATTGCATACTTTTAGGTTATCATCCTGAAAACTTAGAAATTCTAAGATTCCATTTAAATTCATTTGGCCAGCTAACAATGATTTTACTTTTATTAACCAGTCATTATTTTAACGATTAGGGCGCCAGTATGGCTAAAAATTATTTTATTGGCATTACGTGCTGGCACTTTTTATGTTGCACACGCTGGCAAATTACCCTCTTGACCCAATTTAAATAAATATGAGTTTTTCTCTCAGTGCGGCCGTAAAAGCCAGGCAGCCAGGAGACACGTGTCGAAAGTTTCCTTTTTTTCTGCGCTGCCTTTTGCCATTTTCTTTCGCTCTCGCCAATATCCTATGCATTCCCTTTTGGGCGAAAGACGGAGAGACAGTGACAGACAGACAGAAAGACGGGGAAAAGCGAGAGAGAGAGAGAGACAGCTCATCGCTCACTCTGCGAATGCAGTAAAAGTCCTTGAAAAAGGCGAGTTTGATGGCGGCGAGAGAAGTGGGTGGCAGACAGGCCTAAATTGCTTTCGTCGCCGCCCACGCAAAAAGTTATGTAACTTATGTAACTGCGCCTACACCGATTTATTCCCTTTACGACTGCTGTAACTACTCCTTCTCTGGCCACCAATTTTTTCTTCGTGTGTATTCCGAGTGTTATGCAATGTTTGTTGAATGCACAGCACGTCCTTTTTTTGGGGTAGCTCCTTGTTTTCTTTTTTTTTTGTCTGGCACTTGTGTGCGTCTTTATTATAATGGACAAGACAAATTCAATTTCTCCATCAGCTTTCCACTTTGTCTATTTACACGACTTTAAATGCTTTCCATTTGCCTACATATATTATTTATCTGCGCACTTGCTTATTGAATTTGCACTAGACGCCGTCTTTATAACCTTGAGGCCAGGCGATTTACTCCAACGACAGAAAAAGACAGTCTTCAAAATCCAAAAACCAAGCACCCACACACATATGCGGATTTTGTGGATTCTCGTCGTGGGCTCATTGGGCCAAAGTTGTTAAGGCGGCTTTTCAGATTGTGGTTTTAAGATTCCCCATTACGGGGAGGGGCTGGGGCTCTGAGGTGGGGGAGTGCCGCCCATTACAAAAGATTAAAGTCGGCAACTTTGACAAATTGTTACTCGCTTTGCTGACATCTTCCAGTGCGCATTTGCTCATTTTTCTCCACATCTAGAATCTTGTTTCATATTTTTTCTCGTGTTTAATTTGCCCACGCCAAATGAGCACTATGAATGAAACACATCAGATACAGTAGGGACTCGATGAAAAGCAAATAGCACACCAATTAAATTTAAAATAATATTTAGAGAATTTATGTTTCGTACATAAACCAAATAGCCGGATAAAATTTAAAAAAGAAGTTTATACCCAAAAGTAGGCAATAAAATATATGTACACTAAAAATAATTTTTTTTTAAATATCTTTGTAGGTTAATATTATTTGATAGTAACCCAGATCAGTATAAATATTTTAGACTCTTAATAAAGTGATTATCGGAATCTAAGATTTTTGGGACAACCCTGTTAAACAGTTTAAAGTTATCGTGATAAAAGTCTAAAATTAGAGCATGATTGTAGGGAGATTATGATAAGAGCGAAATGTTTTATGAGAACTTTTTAACAATAGACACTTAAATAGAACGCTGGCGAGTGATTACTGTAGTGAGAACATAATAAATGAATGTTTTCTCAACACTGTTCAGTCACTCTGATCCATTATGATCCCCCCTTCGACCTCAACCTCAACCGTGGGCAAAAGCCATTTAGAAGCCCAAGATGCGGATGGAAATGTGTGTAGAAAATGGAAGTGGTGGGGCCAAGTGCGTGGGCGGGTTTCTTGGGCGGTTGTGGCGGCTGGAAATGTGAAACACAATTGCCGCTAATAACCCAAGGCGTTTAGCCGAGGCAGAGACTGCGACGCCGGCAGAGGCGTTGTGTTTTAATCGAATTTTATTTGCCGCCGTTAGCCAATGAATAATTCAAATTGATTATTAAAATGTACGCGAGTGTGCGAATTTCTGCACACACACATTTGTACATTCCGTAGGCGTTAGCATTAACAGCATTAGGATGTGGATGTGGATGTGTGAGAGCGGAGCGGGCTTTCATTAAAACCGTTATCTATGCCAGACGCACGCACCAGACGCAGACGTGCATAAATTAATTACAATTACATACATCGTGCGCGAGAGAAAGAGAGAGAGAGAGAGAGAGCGAAAGCTCGAAACACGCACGCACACACAGACAGCTGTTCCTGTTTCGGAAATTTTGGCGCCCCCCAAAAATTAATACTATCACTACATCGAAATAAGCCTAGTTACTACGAAATATTAAAAATAATAATTTTTGTTTATGTAATTCCGAAATTATTTTCTTAGCCAATTAAAATTTAAATATAATTTTTAAATTTATTGCTATAAATTTTTTTATTTTTTGTAAATCCATGTAATATTTGTAAAAATATTTAATATAATTATTAAAATTAGTAGTTTTGTGTGTAACAGCGCATCTGCGACTTCGGATGGTTGGCAAGTTTTCGGTTGGCCTAAACAAACACAGAGAAAGTCGGAAACTTTCAAGGATTCGAACAAGGCCAAAGGCAAACAGAAGCGGGCTAAGAACAAAAACAGGGGTTTACCCTCAATATTATGTCACTTTATTCGCAAAAAAAGCCCGAAAAAGATAAACAACAACAAGCGACAGATGCAGAGCAGTCGGGAAAAGCATGTTAACTTATGGCTGGGCTTAGGCCAACAAAAGCAAAAACAATAATAACAAAAACAAAGGCAGACATTTCTCTTACGTCAGAGAGTCTGGCCCACACACACACACACACGCACACCAGGGCACAAACGGAAAATGAGGTTATTGCCAATCCCGTCTGCAATGCTCGAGTAAACATTTTAACCTAATTTTTTGCCCTGGGAGCGGGACGTTGCGGGGGCGGGGAAGGGAGCCTCGGCTATGTGTGTTTGCCAGCGGAGACGCCCCAGACAATGTGATGCGATATTTTCTGGTGCCTCAGATTACCCAAAAAGAAGGAAAACGATGGCAAAAAATAAAACACTACACTCTGTAAGGTCCATAATGCAAGCAACGCATCTGCTATATCAGGAATTTCGGTTAAGGAACCCCAAAGTTCAGATATCATGCAGTTTTTAAAGTTACAGTAAGCTGTTTCTGGCTAAAAACGCACGTCTAATTTTTAACGATCTTAAGTATCGTGCCTAATTTTTAAAAGTTTTTAGGGGGTCTTAAAATGGTAATAGTGTTTGCACCGGAAGAATTAACAAGCATGATGTCTATTAAAGTTTTTAAAGTTTATTCGCGGTTTATGGATCGACTTAAAATGGTAATAATTTTTTTACTGAGACATAATAGTTTTCCATTAACTTTAATGGTGTTAAAGTTTACGTGTACCAACTTTATAGGGAAACTTAAAATGTTAATAATATTTGTAGCCACAAAAAAGAGTTTTCTTTTCTCGGAAAAACAAATTAGCAAAAATAAAAAAAGAAAATATCAACATAAGGTTTACTAAGTTTCTCCTTGGTTTTTTAAATATATTTACCTAAAAAAAAAGTTCTCGCAATTCAGAATAAAGTAAAATTAAAAGCCACAAATTAAAATGACGAAAGATTTCGAAATAAATTCAAGTTAAATAAATTGGCTTGTACAATCAAATTAGAAGAAACATGCTTACCCGCTGAGATCTCTGACCACATAGTCTCACGAGTTTTTAATTTACAAAATTGCATTTGCATATTTGTATAATTTTTACAAAGTCCGCCGTCGCCGAAAATATTCGTGCTCTATTATTTGTTGTTGTTCGCGCTGAGATTTGTCATTTCTTTCATGCTCGCTTGCACACATCAATCGCCAGGTCGTGTGGTGGGGCACTGGGGGGTTAAGACACACAAAAAAAGTTATACAAAAAACCTAGGAAAAGGTGGCCAACGGAATGTGGAACATGCTGAGTTATGCGAATGGCCTGTGTAGTGAATAATCGGTCTGTAAAAATCGAGGGGATTTTGTATTATTACTAAATATTACAAAACTATGCATGAGTATTCAAATTTTCAAAACTTACCCGAAAGCTAACAGATTTTTAAAATCGATCCCGAACTTTCCAACACTATTTTAAAACTGAAGCGATCAAAAGGAGTTGGTCACCCTATTATCGATGTATCGCTATCAACAAATGGTGCATGGAAAAAGAAAGGTGGCCAAATTTAATCGGGATTTTATTTCGAATGCAAAATATTTAGATTATCAAGAATTTAGATATGAAATAGAATTTAGATGTGTTCTTAAAAATATTTATGGATACATCCCAGTTTAAACAATTCGACAAAGCTATTAACGAGATTAATTTATTCTTGTGACGTCACAATCTTATTCTTCTGCGCCACCTTCTCAGTCATTTTCTTACTCGCCCACTCCGTCCTTCTTCCTCTCTTAAGAACTCATTGAGCTTATTTGGTTGAACAGAATTTACCGCAATGACTGGAAAGAATAACAAAAAAACACTCAAAACGGGAAATCAAGCGATTAACGCTCGCAAAAAACCCGTAAAACTAAGTCTAGCCGATTTCCATAATCAGATAGAAAATCAAATGACGGAAAAGAATGGCAAAAAGATGGACACGAAAAATTGGGAGTTTTCTAGAACTTTCAGTGGAACTCGAGGTCGCGGTGTTTGTTGTGAGAAGATTCCAATAGTTCCCAGAAATGTGGATGATACGATGGTTCAGAATGGAACTGCCACTAAATCGAGTGGGGGTGTTCCAAAAACAATCGAAAAGAATCGGGCGGAGCCAAGTCCAAGTGGACGCCCTAAGAACCCTAATAAAACTGGTAATCCCAGTGAAACCAAGATAACCTTACTGAGGCGACCAAATCCACAGGATGCTTCCCATGGTCGACCCAAGACGCGAGTTCGATCCTGTCCACGGATTGCCACGCCTCCAAGATATGTGCCGCCGGAACTAAAGGAAGTGGATCTCATGACATCGGCGGACTTTCGCTATGATTACGGCGCTGATCTGAAGAACATGCGATTCCGGCAGCAACGACAGGATCACATGCAATTCTTCAAGATTGTTATGCATCAGAACCAGCAGCTCTTCAAGGGTCGCGTTATCCTGGTACTCTCCTGCGGAACTGGAACTCTGGCTTTAATGGCTGCCCAAATGGGGGCCAAAAGGGTTTATGCAGTTGATTACTCCAAGGTTACCGGCTATGCGGAGTTGGTGGTGCGTGAAAATCGCTATGAAACCGTCATTAAAGTCTTAAATGGACGCATGAAGGATTTAATGTTACCGGAGAAAGTGGATGGCATCGTTTGCGCCTGGATGGGTCATTGTTTGCTCTTCGAATCGGAGATATTGGAGGTTCTAGAAGCCCGTGATCGCTGGCTGAAGAAGGGCGGCTTTATCCTACCCGATTTGGGTTCGCTATATCTCGTTGCTTCGGAGGAACACAATCTTAAGAACGATCGCTGCAATTGGTGGCGGGATATCTACGGATTTAATATGAATGCCATGCGTCGATATTCCCTGGCTGAACCTCGCTATGCTAAAACGAGTGGAGGAAACATTTTGACTTTAGCTCATAAGATTTTAAACCTAGATTTAAAGAAAGCCAAGAAGGAAGATTTAATGATAGATCGAAAAATCAGGTTAAAGGTCCAGAAAGAGGGCTATCTAGAGTGCTTTCTCCTCTTTTTCGAAGTGCAGTTCAGCAGTTCGCCCTTCAAGATGAGCTGCAATCCCTGCTGCAAGTCGCCCTACAAATCGCTTTGGTTGCAAACCGTACTCTTTGTAGAACAGCCGTTCATAATGCGCAGTAACCTTCACTACACGGGTAGCCTGAAATTCAAGCCCCTGAAATCGAATAGCTTGAAGGAAATGGAAATACGTATTGAGTTCTACGAGGGTCTTGAGTACGATGACGATTGGAACGCATGTACTCGTCGGGTGGTCAAGAGATGGCTCATGCTGGAGCGCTTTCAGACTTTCGGCGAGGTGGAGAGTTGTCAGGATGAGCTGGGGGAGGATGGTGGCCAGGACTTTTAGGTCTCTTTGAGGATTATTATTTAAAGCCCTTTAGCTTGACTGTATACTAATTTTGTTAACCCTCTTTGCAGATGCTATCGGTACAGACGGCCGGCTGCGCGGGAATGGAGCGGCTCGGCGTTCCGACCCGCACATCTTTGAGCTCACCACCCGATGATAGGTAAGTTAAATATTTAAATTTGGAAATTTCCAGTGTCAAGTAATTAGTTTTTTATTTTTTTTTAATATTTTTAAAGGAATATTTTATTGCTAGACATGGAATCAATTGTTGAAAATGCTTTTTGATACCATATAATTTTAAAATATTTCTTTACAAATTTTAAAACTAATAAAAACATTATAATACAGTTTTAGATTAATTTATATTACAAATTATCCAAAGAAATGTATAACTTCATTTTAAATTAGAGAAGTTTTAAGTTAAACCATTTTCTAATATTTTAAAAATTGGAATTTATTAAAATTATCTTATTTTCTAGGGATCCAATCAATTGTTGAAAAAGCTTTTTGAAAGCATATAATTTCAAAATATTTTTTTACAAATTTTAAAACTATTAAAAACCATTAAACTACAATTTTAGATTAATTTATATTACAAATTATCCAAAGAAATGTATAACTTCATTTTAAATAGGAGATGTTTTAAGTTAAAAAATGTTCTAATATTTTAAATATTTTAAAAATTGGTACTAATTAGTTTTTTTATTTTCTAGGGATCAATTTAGATGTAGAATGCGCGTGGATGCGCTCCAAGCACGTGAGCTCCTGGCTGTACGTGGCGAGACTGTGATTCGTGGCGCCGGAAACAATCAGCAGCAGCACCATCTCCATCACAGCAGCATCAGTAGCAGCAGCAGCAGCAACAAGCAACAACATTCCCACCACCAGCAACAACGCATGACAACTCCAAGCACGCACAACTCCGGCGGAGGAGGAGGAGTAGGAGGAGGCGGTGACCATCACCATCAGCAGCAACAGCAACAGCTGAGCAGTAGCAGCAACAACAACTATAGTATTAGCAGCAATGTGGCGCGAGGCGGCATCGAGGCCACCACCCTCAAGTACGGCAACACGGGCAGCGGGAGTGGAGGTTGCTACAAGGGCGACTGCGGCAACTCCTCCTCAACGGGATCCTCGTGCAGTTCGCTGCAGAGCCACAGCAACGACCACCACCAACATTACCAGTACCAGCTGCAGCAGCAGCAGACGCCCCGCTGTCCCCATCACGTACCACTGCCGGACAGCGAGTACGGACAGGATCGCCACCTGCAGATCAGGAGCAGCTATCAGGTGGGTTACTAAATAAATCTTTAAAGGAAATGTTATACTAATGTCTCGGCTTTTAACAGCAATCGGAGATCACCAGATCGTACACGAAACCGCCGCCCAACAAGACGGTGCGCGATGTGCCCGAGCAGATCTCGGCGGGCGGCTGCGGCGTCTCCAGCTCCAGCTACCGTCTTACCACGCTCCAGGCCGCCTCCTCCACATACACGCCCGCCGGGGCGTCAGTGTCCGCCTCCTCATCGTCCAGCAAGTCCAAGCCGAATGCCATAACCAAGTTCTTCTCGCGCATCAGTTCGCCCAAGTCGCCGCCGAGCTGTACGATGTCCTCGGTGGCAGCTGCTGCCGCTTCCCCACCATCCTCCACCGTCTCCATGTCGTCGTCAGCCTCCTCGCTAGCCTCCTCCGCCTGTGTGTCCACCTCGTCGTCGGCCTCCTCGCTAGCCGCCGTGCCCCTGCCCACGTTGCCGGTTTCGAATGCCTCGCTGCTGAAGAGCACGGCCTGCGGCTATGGCACCAATCCGAGTGGAACGCATATCTACGCGGGATTGACCAGCCTGGGAACCGGAACGAGCGGCAATTGCAGCCCCGAAAGGATACCCACACCGCCGCTGTCCGTCTCGGTGCCAATTGGAGCCGGTCTGCAGCCACTGAGGAGCAGCAGCGGGAGCAGCAGCAGTACCGCCAGTCTACCCCAAGTAGAGGCAACCACAACAGCCACCACCACTCAGTCTTCCTTTGCCACCGGAGCGACGGGGGATCTCCCGCTGACCACGATGAGCCGCAATAATTCCAACTCTAGCATGATGAGCTGCCACTGCAGCTGCAATAGCCGGAATTGCAGCCACTGTGCGGCCAACTCATAACTGAGCTCGTGTTAAGTTTAACTACATTAAAATATCGGCGGTGATGCAGAAGCCCCTGGAGATTTAAGAACATTAGTTTTAAGAGCAAGGATTTTTTAACTACTGTTGTCGCATCTCCAGAGATTTGTGCGGTACCTCCAATATATATATCTAAATATATATACACATATATTTTTTTTATGTTAGCCTATGTTTATCTATTATGTTAAAGTTTAACAGATTTATTTTATGTAGGTCTGTCGCCAACTTTTGCGCTGGTACGAAAAGACTGTTTATTAGTCAGAATTTAATTTGTAAATTTGAGTAACAAGAGAGAAGGAATGCTAGAGAATGATAAATTGAGAAGACATATAGCTGCGCTGCCGCCTTTTAAGCACTCACCACAGACCATAGAAGGTTCTTTTTAGTTCTGTAACATGATTTCCATTCGTCGCTTGCTAAAACGTAAAGAAACGAAATTTTTTGTAAAAACGATGAAAGCCACAAACTTGAAAGAGACAGACACACAATACCATTAAACTTGAAGAAGGGAAAGAGGAAAGTAAATAACAAAATATAAGTGAATATGTAATTGTAATTTTATGAATGAATATTGTATACACTTTAGTTTGAATAACTCTAGTTTTAAATCGAACCCAACCAACTCTTAACTATACTCTATCCCTACCCCTATCCAAATCCCGTATCCCCTATTATTATTATACGCTTGTCCCATGTGCTGGAACACACGAAAAACACACAAACAATTTTTAGTTCAATTGAAATTCGTATTTGTATATTTGCTAACGGAATTACAATGTAAAACAAAAAAAAAAAACAAAAAATGAAATGAAATTTATGTAAACCAATTTGTAGAGAAATTATTGTTTTTATTTTCATTTGGCTGATGTTAATTCTTATTTCGGATTTTCAGCTGGGTTTACTTTTGAAATTCGAATGATCGATAATGTAACGATAGGCGATATCGATAACCAACCCTAGTCTGGTCGATCGTTCTTATTGAATTGCAACTCTGATCGAAGGTTGCCATTTGTGGCAGCACTGGCGGTTTATTCAAAAGGAGAATAGATTTTTAATTGGCGTTTAATTTAGGAAAATAAAAGAATTAACGATTAATCCCACTGCAATGTAAATTATAAGCACAAGCAAACGACTTAGAACATTTTGGTAATTATAATTATTTCTAACTCTTCACACTTATTTTGTATAGTCATTTAATTATGAAAATATTTCTGAAATTTGAAAGCGTCATTTCCAGACAACCCAACACATTGTTGCCCCGACAATTCCAAATTAAAATTATCAATGAGAAGAAAAACAAAAAATGGTTTCAAGAACTTACGATCCATTAAATCAAATTTAAACCACATTTAACCAACAATTTAGATGAAAAATCGAAAGCGAAAAACTAGGAAAATATGATAACAAATGCAAAATAAAGGAAAACACTTTACTACGCCAACAAGTCCTACAAGCCTACATTTTAAATACATAACAATATGGTTCGATGTCTATGGATCAAAGAATACTTAAAGTAATGCAACCGGAAATAGCCCGAAATATCACACAGACCGAAGTGAAAACTGGAGACAATGAATAACTAAATTAAACAAGTAGAATTTAATTAATTAATTAGTTATAAACAAATTAAGTCCAGCTAAAATATCGAAGCGATCATTGAATCGGCTACACATATACACATTTATACAAATAATTATATACATACATAAATTTAATTTACGTAAACAGGCCTAATTTCAACTACCTCCAAAACTGTTTTTTAAATTAAACAATTAAATTCTAAACAAAGATCAAGTCTACGAATTATGTTTAGCAAACACTAAACGGAAACTAAGTAAATCAAGTAAAAAACAAATCGATTAAATTATAGCAAATTAATTGATTGAATTACAATTTTTTAAAAATTCGAGCAGATCGATTAATTCAACAAATCAACAATCATTGACAAGTAATTAATTTTACACTTTATATATACGATATATACATATTACGATATGGTATCTGTACATTTAGATCGAGAATACAAAGAAAAGCGCACACGAGCTGCGTTTTGAAAATGCAAAACCGTCGACTGATATTTATAACAAAATAAAAGTAAATAAAGTAAATTACAAGGAAAGTGAAGGGATTCATTTGTAAATACACCGAATGTTAATGTATACAGACCTACGCCCAACAGTCCCCGAAGTTTTCCAACCCATCCGAGATCAAAATCTCCCACTCCCCAAGAAATCGAATTCGATTTTTGATCCCCGCAGGCAAAGTTGCACCCAACACTAGCGAAATTTTTTAAAGCGCATTAAGCAAAACGTCTAAGATACATAAATCTATATAAAAATCGATATATATCTAAATACATATATATTAAATGAATACCAATTATTGTTGTTGTCTCTTATAAAAAAAAAAACAAAAACCCATCAAAACCGAAAATAAAAATGGGAAAATGAAAGCAAATTTAAAATATATTTCCAAAATATATAGAATATAACTTTGAAAGCCAAAAATATCAAACATCATTGTTTCTTTTGAAAAGGAATGTTGGTTACCAACGGGTATATTTTTTTCATGCTTTGATTGACACTTAACAGACCTTATCGCCGTTCCTTTGATGCATCATGCATTGAATTCTTATCATAAAAGTTAATGGACTCAAGAAAAATCCCATCATAAATTTATCACCCAGCCAGAACCCATTGAAGAACCACCCAAACTCGTATTCCAGTGACTCACGAATCGAACTTAGATTTCGCGAATGATAGTAAAGCACTCCATGCCAACTTGCGTAATCAATTTGCATTAATGATTTGCACAAATCCCCGAAAAGTTTTGGAACTCAGTGGGTCGCGTTGAAGGACGGCGAATTCTCACGTATTTCTTATCAGCTGCAAGTCAGACAGATTGTGGAAATAAAACAGCAAATAGTAATTGATCGCTGAGAGGGGGGAAAAGCAGGGCAAGTACAAGCGATCTAGGCGATATTTTGCACTATTGATAAAAGTTAAACATAAGCAAAGGTTGGCCATTGGCACGCGTCCAGTGTTTGCAAGTCCGTCCAACGGTTAACAGCTCCTAAAATTAGCAAATTAACAGCAGTTATTAAAAAACATTCCTCTACACGGGAAAGCAATCAAGCAATCGATCCAATCATGTCGCAGTTGTATGAACCCGCCGAGGTGGCCGAGCAGAATGGCAAGAACGGCAAACCCTGCTGGCTGATCATCAAGGGAAACGTCTACGATGTGACCAAGTTCCTGGTGGAACATCCTGGCGGCAGCGAAGCTCTCCTCGAATATGGCGGCAAGGACGCCACCAAGGCCTTCAAGCAGGCCGGACACTCTTCCGATGCCGAAAAGGATCTGAAGAACTACAAAATCGGAGAAATAAATTCGGCGGCACCCATCCAAAGCCAGCCCACTTCCATTGCGGCAAAAAAGCCGGCGGAAAGTCCCATATCAGGCGATCCGGAACCGGCGAAAAAGAGCTCTTCCTCCTTCTGCTGCTGCTAGTCATCGTTTTACACATGTCATTTAATTGATTTATTAACATAGGATCAGGTCGTAATTAATTTAGCGTAATTAATTTGTAACTAAGTCTAGGTTTATCTCATAATAGCTTCGCAACATAGTCGTGCCCACAAAACTATCCTAAAAAGATCAACTCTTCTTACCTCGATTTGAAAAAATTGCAAATAAATCCGGTGGAGCTGCTCCACCATATTGGAAAAAATTAAACTATGCCTTTTTCGCAAAGACGGCTAATCCTTCGGCTCGCCTTCCGCCAGTGGACCGCTGCTGGGATTCGCTTGAAACGTACTGCAGGCAGCATCGAAGTACTCCATCGTAAAACTGGTCACGTTCACCGTGTGGTTGCGCAGATAGTGATAGAATCTACTCGACTTGCGTTCCTGTCCAGCCCGCTCCTTCTCACTGCGGCAGATAGAACGCAGGGTAGGCTCAAAGTCCAGCGATTTGGCGGAGGAGGAACGTAGAAGGCCGTTGCCCAGGTGCTCGCAAATGGTTACCCTAGAAGAGTTAAGAAAAAACAACGATTGAGATACAGGTTCTAGGAAAACATGCAGGAATTGAACATAAGATCTTCTGTTTGATATTATAGCATTCTAGTATTAATAATAAAGCTTATAAAACTATTTAGTTGTTGAACGTCTTTCTTCATTTGTTTCTCCGTAAAGCAATTTCACTCTCTCTTTCTAATATAGCTAAAATACTCAACATCTTTGGCCTTATCTGATTACTAATCATTCCGGCGAATAACTTTATGAATGATTGTGTTTTTGCGACAGCTTTATGATCGGTCATTTTTATGACATGGCAATTAAACTAGAGTATGCTAAACTTATCTTGTGACTAGTCGTTATTTTAACTGCCAGGCGATACAAAAAACCCCGATTTCCTTTTACCATCGATTATTTCGATGACAGCTAAAGTACCTAACTTGGTACTATTTTATAAAGCAGGAAATATCCAATACATTTTCATTAGAAGCTTGTCAAAATGGGGAACGGAATTATTAAATGATAATAATTATTATAATCTCTATTTTCTATCGATCAAATTTTTAAATCACAGCTGATATAAATAAAAATGATTTGTATTTTTTTAAGAAACTGTTAGAATTGTCAAAATGGTGAACGGAATTACTAAATGATTATTATCTTTATAATCTCTATGTTCTATTGATCCGATTCTTAAATAACAGCTGAAATAAATAAATATGATATGTTATTTGTTAGTTTGTTTGTTACTGTTAGAATTAATACACTAATAATTAAATTAATTTGTTCTTTTTAGAAACGGTTAGAAATGTAAAAATGGTGAACGGAATTACTAAATGATTCTAAAAGTTCTTTTGATCCGATTCTTATATCACTGCTCAAATAAATAAATATGATATGTTCTTTTAAAAAAATGAATTAAAATACTAATAAAAATAAATGAATATATTAATATAATTTTATCCACGTTGTTATATATTTTTCAAGCATTTTACCTCTGAGCCGGCTTGTCGAACAGGTTGTAGGGACACTCCTTGGCCGCGAGTCCAGTTTGGAGAGCCTGCTCCACCAGCAGGTGCGCGATATCCTCGGACAGGTGGCACTGCAGGCGATCACTGCAATCGGCGTCCATCAGAGCAGCCGCCGAAATGTTGTCGTAGAAGGAGGCCAGCGAGGCGAGGGATGAGTTTTGGCCATCGTTCTTCTGACCAGTGGCGCTGCTTAGCCAGGCTTTCTTTGGCGAGCGGGACTTTCGCTTGGCAGTGGCTCTGCTTCCTCCACCCGATGGCTGCTCCTTTAGCAGCGGGGAACTCGAAATAAGCTCCGAGAGATTCAAACGCAGCAGGCTAAAGTTCACGGGAAAGGGTATCCGATGCTGGACATTTTGCGGGGTGGTAAAGAACTCAAAGAATCGCTGATGAATGCGACTGCCGTCGACGGTGGCCAGCCGGCTATTTGAGGATTTGGTGGGCGATCTAACGCCACCCGTCCTGCCGCCACTAGGATCTCCACCGCTCTGAATGTAAAACTGCAGCTCCATCAACGTCTTGCGCAGATTCTGATCATTGTACAGATACAGGGATATCAGTTCATCCAACTCGATGGGACAGTTTTCCATGAGGGATAGGACAGCTAGGAATCGGGAGATGTTCAGAGCATTTGGAGCCTGGAAATGAACCACATTCTGTTGCATAAGACGCTGCAGATGCGGGCAATTTGGATCCGTGGCCACCACAATAACCGGCCTCTTTGAACTGGCGGCCAAAGTGTAAATGGCATCCGTAAACCCAGCATCCAGGTTGTCAAAAAGGATGTCCGCATCTTCTATTAATATCAGAGATTTCCGCACTTCGGATGGAGGTTCATAGCTGTTAGCTTTCGCCTTTAAGCCGCTCTTTTGCAGCTTTTGGAGCAACTGCTGCGAGGATCCCCCGCCCGTTTTGCTATCCTTTCGTATCTGATGCGACTGCGTGGCCTCTTGGAGTTCCTGTATCAGCTTTTTGCCTGTACGCTTCATCCCAGCGTTAATTTCCAGGACATTAAAGTTCATGTCGTTGGCTAGAGTGAAAACTGCATTGGTTTTGCCACTAGACGAAGGTCCCACCAGCACCATTGTGTTGCTGTTTGCTCCCATGGAAGCCGAATCGTTGCTCATGTCGAAGGTGTCGTCCAGGCCCTGCGAGTTGCGATTGCTGCCACCATTGCCACCACTCCAGGCGGACAGGAACTCCTTGAGCTCCTGCACTGGCGTTAGATTAACTAGAACCTGCTCGAACAGCAGTGGTTTGTACTTTTCCGTGAACAGCAGTTCGCCGTTGGGCGCCGAAGGCGGTGGCTTCGCCTCCTCGTCATTCGGAGCCACATTCTGCTCCATGGAGCGACGAGTGCGCCGTGTGACCACCAAGGATTCACCCATTTGCTGCGTATCCTGCGCACTGTCAATGGCGCTAAAATGCCGATACTTCTCCCTCATCTGATTGTAGCATTTGAAGGTGGGAAAGCGATCAAAGTCGTTCTTCCAGAGCTTTACAAAGCCGCGCTTGTTTTCGAGTTGCGGCAGTGTGGCATAATTAAACTTGTTGGAACATTTACTTGATGTAAAGTCAGCGGGCAGGCAGCTGGTGAAGCTACTCGTTTTGGAACGTCGTTTTTGGGAGAGCAAGGCAGCTATGTATTCCTCTTCTGCCCTCAAAGCAAAAGGCAGCTTCAGGGGTTCCTTTCTAGAGACAAATGCTTCGCAACCTATGTGCGCCAGTCGGGGAAACACCTCGTAGCTCTCCTCGTACATCTGCTCGTAGTTCTTTTGCCGATTCTGCTCCTGCCGAATTTTATCTGGCACCCCGGATTGCAGAAACGCCTGGCGAGCCTTCAAAATCGAGGGATCCGGACTGGGCCTCGGCAATTGGCGCACGAAGAGCGGCGCTAGTTTCTTTGGCGTGGCAGCTGGATTACTGTTGTCCAGATCAATTATCTCCACGGACTCCTCTGCTATGGGAACCTTGGCCTTTTGTTGTTGCTTCGCAGGACTCGTTTCCAGGTCGTAATCGTAGCGCGCCTTTCCCGCACACGAGCGTCTTGGTCGCGAGGAGGGCGTGGATTCTAGGTCCACAATGGGCGTTTCCTGCTGACTCTTCCTTCGCTGCGTTCTCCGCTTTGGCGTCTCCATCGGTGGAGTTTCTATCGCAATGGCCACCTTTTCGGCCAGCTCCTTGGGCGATTCCACCTTGGCAAAGTAGCCCAGCAGGCTGTCGCGCTTTTTGGTGGGCGACGACAGCTTGGAGAGGAATTCTTCGGTTTCGGGATCCTGGGGCGGCGCCTCCACGGAGCTGAGTCGTCGGGATCTTGGCCTTCCCCTCGAGCGCTTGACTGTTAACTCTGTGGGCGCCGAAGAAGGAGCCGTCACCTCTTTCTGGTCAGTCTTGGTCAGCATTTTCCTCAATCTGCGGGAGAAATATATTAGTAAAAGTGGAAAATCTTAGAGGAAACTTACCTCTTGGCCCTCTGCTCCATCTGCACCTCAATGAACTCGCCGCGCGCCTCATCCGCCAGTCTCCGTTTGGCTCCCCCCTTCCTTTCGTTCCACTCCTGGAGGAGCAGCTTCCTTTTAGACGTGGGCGTTGCTCCTTCGCTGGTTTGAACTTCCTGATCCCCGGGTGAATCGGCGCCTCCTTCATTAACGCCTATGGACCGATTGCGGGCATTCATCATGAACTCAAAGACATTGGTGGGCGGTTTGGGTTTGGGGGTGGTGGTCACCGGATGCTCCGGTTTCCCCACCGCCGTTTTGGCAAAGTGCTTCATGATGCTTTGGCTGTCGGCCACCGGAGTGCTGGACTTCAGCGGACTGGAGCGCCGCCGATGGCCGTTCTTCAGGCCGTTCTCCTGCGTAGTCTTCTCCCGCAGCGGCTGTGGTTTCTCGTTCTTCTGATCCTCCAGCAGCGCCGCCCTCCTCTTCTCCTCCCTCTTCCGCTTGTGCTTCTCGCGGTGCTTCTGCTTCACCGAATGGAGCACCTCCTCCATGTTCTGCAGTATCAATTTCGACTTGGCGCTGGGCGGTGCTCGCAAAACGAACGGGGATGTGGGCTCGGCGAGATCCCGATCCCGGCCAGCATTTTTGGCGGGAGTTCCCGGTGGACTTGCAATGTGCTCACTTGTAAGACAATTTATCGGACAATCGGTCATTTTCTTTCGTCTTTTTCGTTGTTTTCTTTTTGTATTTTGTTTAATGCATATTGCTGAGTGTGTGCGTGTGTTTGTGTATGGTGTAGTTTTCTTTTGTAGAATCTAAGTACTTAAGCGTTTGAAATCTACAGATTATGTTTAAACGAAAGCCAAACTCAGGGGATCGCAACAGAAGATCGGGGGGCAAAAGCAATAAATATTATTTAAACATTAATAATAATGAGATCTACCTTCGTAGCGATTATATTTCTTACACTACCGCACACGCACACACACTGCCGCGATCGCACTGGCGTCGCGTTGGTCTCGCTCCCCTTCCTAACGGTACTTGGGGCCCCAATGGGTTTTGCTGATCCGGTGTCCAATTCACTCGATAATAATCATTTTAACCGAGTTTTTAGTTGCAAAAATTGTTGGCACAATGTGCTGAGGGAAAAAAAAGGCGCGAAGAAACGGTGTTGGGAAAGCTGGTATTTACCAGCACTGTTCGGTCAGGCGTTAGGTGATTTTTAGTTGCGGTATTTTTATTGGTATTTTGTGGTATACGGTCACCCTGCTAATCCCACTGTTTTCATTTTTTCTCCGTGAAAATGTCCACCTATTATTTTGTTATTGTGGGCCACAATGATAATCCCATCTACGAGAAGGAATTCAGCACGGTTAACAAGGAACTTAGGGTTCGTAGACCTAGTGAGCACCCTATAGCCTTGGCTAAACCCATTTCCCACCCACAGAAAGAGGATCACAGGCACCTCAGCCAGTTTATTGCCCATGCCGCCTTGGATTTGGTGGACGAGCACAAGTGGAAAACTGCCAATATGCAGCTGAAATCCATTGATAGATTCAATCAGTGGTTCGTTTCGGCCTTCATTACGGCCAGCCAAATCAGATTCATCATCGTGCACGACAACAAAAACGATGAGGGCATCAAGAACTTCTTCAACGAGATGTATGACACGTATATTAAACACTCCATGAACGCCTTCTACCGCATAAACACACCCATTAAATCCCCGATGTTTGAGAAAAAATCAGAGATCTTCGGCCGGAAGTATCTGTTATCCTAAATTTGTTAAAATCTTTAGCCAATAAGTGATGTTGTAATATAAATATGATTTTATTTAAACCCCAACTTTTCCTGGAACCCATTAACTAACATCATAGCTTACATTTCTTTTAATTTATTTAGAAAAGCACTCTAAGCTTAACTCTCGATGGACTTGTTTAATTATCTCTTTACTCGATGCGTCCTCGAATCAAATCTAAAACGATTTAACGCCCGTCTCCAGACGACAGTCCCAGACTGGAGTAAATTAGATGTGTTTGGGTTGAATAGATGAACAACGCATGGAATCAATTTGAAACTAAAGCAACAAAGTTATACGGAATTTTGTAATGGGTGTTCGTAAACAAAAAATCTCTTGAGGTGAGTTGACCGTCCGTCGCGCAGCTTAGTGCTTCTTGTTCTTGCCGGAGCGCTCGTACTTGCTCTTGGACTGGTGCCACAGACCCAGGGGAATGGCCAGCGAGGGCAGGGTCATCACGGCGAAGGCCACCCAGTCGAAGAAGTGCGAGGAGAAACGCTTGTTGTACTCGTTCAGGTTGACAATGCCGCCCTCACCGGGCTCCGAGCTGACCGCCAGTTGGAGCTGTGGGAATAGAAGGGTTTTGGATTAAATGATGTTCTATATCTTAGGGAATTTTAGAAATATAAGAAGATAATTTTAAAAGTCAGTTTTTTCGGCGAATATAACCGTTTTTTGTCTAAATTATCTATCATACCAAGAGGTTCTTCAATATCTCTGTTTGTCTAACTACATATAGTCATTTATTTTGTTCATAGGTCGACATATCATTGATTTTTCCACTTCTTTTTATGGAAACATTTTAAAATAATAATAATATTGTCATTTATTTTGTTCATAAGTCGACATATCATTGATTTTTCCACTTCTTTTTATGGAAATATTTAGAAATATAAGCAGATAATCTTTAAAATCAGTTTTTTTTTTTGGCGAAGAATATAACCGTTTTTGTTTAAATTATCTATCATACCAAGAGGTTATACAAAAATCTCCATCTATCTCTGTTTGTCTAACTACAGATAATATTTAATGTTGTTCAAAGGTCGTCATAATATTGTATTATTGATTTTTCCATTATATTTATGGAACTGTTTTTTAAACTAATTACTCAATGGACTGTACATTTGGCAAAACTTGTAAAATAAAAGATGTTTGTGAGAGATTTCTATAATACCCGAGATTAGATAAGATTTAAGAGGTTACAACTCACCGTCTCGGACTCCTCGACCGCCTTGTAGGACACCTCGGCGGCGGTGAAGTTGAAGTAGCCGAATGCCTTGGGCCTCACGACCAAGACGTGGGTGAAGTTGGTCTGGGGAGCGATCCTGTCGACGACGGCGGTGGGCTGTCCACCGACCACGTCGAAGGCCTCCGGATGGAAGCCGGAGTCCACCAATCGCACCTTGGTGGCGGCTCCGCTGCCCACATTGAAGATGGTGTAGCGCACCAACAGGTCGCTCTTCTCCACCAGGTACTTGTTCAGGATCTGCTTGGAGACCAGGAGGCGGGCGCGGGTCTCGTCCTCCGACAGGCAGGTGCTAAATACCGCGCACAGGGCGCACAGAGCCAGCAGGTGCTTGAACATTCTGCAATTGCGGATGATATAAAGTCAGAATTGCACGTTTCACTTTTTTGTTGACGTGGAAGGGTCGCCGAAAAACGAGAGGCCCAACAGGGCGGACATTTTTCTTATCAATTTTCCCTCCATTTGTAAAGGCAGATGTGCGGAAAGTACTCACTGCACATAAACACCTAGGTTTTAAGTGATTATTTAACTACTTACTTGGCGTTGGTTATTTCTTTTGCGAGTATTTCGGTGCAACTAAAGAGCAGTCGTAGCAGGCGGCCGCTTTCTCGTTGGTTCGTGACGTGGAATGGTTCCGCTGTCAAACTTCGTGTTTTGCTGTCAGGGTTGCCAGGGGTGCATCGAGGTATCGATATATCGGCTGGTTTTCGGCGATGCGATTAATACCAACGATTTGACTTTTGGTATTTTATTTTAACTAGTTTCTTAACGGTTTTATTATTCGGGTGACCAAATTTGCAATTCATCAGTCAGATTCAGAATCAAAAACAATTTCAATTATTTTAAATAAAAATTATTATTAGTATATACAATCTAATGTCTATATATTGCCTTTTTGGTTTTCCCAAATGCAAAACAAGTATAAATCTAGCAATACCAACAAAAAACAAATAAAAATCGATAAATTCGCTTAACAAAAAACAATCCAGCGCCCCGAGCTTTGGCAACCCTAACGTACCGCCTTCTGTTAACCCACTGTTAACAACCAACAGCTGTTGTTCAAAAGCGACAAAACAAATGTAAACAAAACTATTTTATTTAGTTTTATGAATGGTTATTATTTAAGATAGCACCTGTTTAATATTCACAGGTTATACCTTGCTTTGTTTTATAAATTTGACATAGATTTCGCTTGAAACAGCTGTTTGCCGGTGCCTAGGAATGCCCTTGAAATGACTTTTGCACCCTACAGCGAGCTTTTCGGCATATCAGTGCGCTCAGTTATGACGATTTTATTGCGATAAATCATCATGAAGTAGGGAAATTCGACTATCTTAAAGAAAGATAACTTAATTTATGGGTTCTTAAGGGCCCTCATGACACACCCCCAACTCAAGATTATGTCTGCCTAGTAGCACGCAACAAAGATAGAGGTTATCTCGATCGGTATGGCCGAATCGCTTTGGCTTATCAGTGGGAGGCGAATTTCGCTGTGCTGTGTTTGACACTCGATTTTCATCGCACGCAAACGCGGTTCATTCGTCCAGTTGGAATTCAGCCAGCAGCCGGAAAACTCCAGTGAAATGTCGCTAACGGTGGAAATTGTTGCCACAAAGCCCTACGAGGGTCAGAAGCCAGGAACCAGTGGATTGCGCAAAAAGGTGGGGTCTTCAGTTAGTGCAAAACTTAATAGATCCATCGTATAACTTTGTGAAATCCATCCTAAATCGCAGGTTAAGGTTTTCACCCAACCGAACTACACGGAAAACTTTGTCCAGGCCATTTTGGAGGCCAATGGCGCCGCCCTGGTGGGATCCACCCTCGTCGTTGGCGGCGATGGACGTTTCTACTGCAAGGAGGCCGCCGAGCTGATTTGTCGCTTATCCGCCGCCAACGGAGTCTCCAAGCTGCTGGTGGGTCAAAACGGCATCCTGTCCACGCCCGCCGTCTCCAGCCTCATCCGTCACAACAAGGCCTTGGGTGAGTTACCACTTAGGCAGTGCTCACTGTGCCCGAGTGCTCGTAAAGATTTTGATTGATAAGAAGCATCTTTATACAATCAACGGGTGGCGAGCTGCTCAGTGACAGAGGTCCCTGGGGTCGAATAATAACTATAGATTCAATCGGTTAACAGAGGAATATGAATCGGTTAAAATAATAACGGTTTTGAATAGTAGTGCTGGAATTTAAATTTGTTTTGTCTAAATATTTTAGACAGAAAATTGGTTTTGTTATTTCATAATTGTATCAACTAATCTATCATGCTAGCTTACTTAATTTCACAACACGGAAGCAGTTTTGCACTAATCATACCTGATTTACAATTTAATAAAAGGGTTATTGAAATTGCATAATTATAGCCCTTATATATTTTGTAGTTAGTTAAACTTTTTTAGAGAAATACATAGTTACTTTTTGTTATTACCACTTCAAAATTGTAATAAATTAAACAAATGTTTAAAAGCATAATTTAAGTAATCCAAATTTTAAAAACCACTTGATACAATAGGATAATAAAACTTAAAAAGTTATACATTTTATTTAGTTATATTAAATGTAGTTATTTACTGAATAACAGCTGAGTTTGTGAATAATATATATCTAATTTGACCATGAATAGTGAATGGTCTTGAAAATTTAAATGATAAACAGTTTAGAAAATGGAAATTTACAAAAAAACTTGATACAATAAGCTAGAACTTAAAAATAAATACTTTTTGTTCAATTATAAATAAGTTTAATTCTAATTTTAGTTATTTCCTGAAGAAAAGTTTAATTTGTGAGTGATATCTAATTTGTCCCTTTACTTCAGGTGGCATTGTGCTGACCGCTTCCCACAATCCCGGTGGTCCCGAGAACGATTTCGGCATCAAGTTCAACTGCGAGAACGGAGGACCGGCCCCCGATGCGTTCACCAACCACATCTACAAGATTACCACCGAGATCAAGGAGTACAAGCTGGTGCGCAATCTGCAGATTGACATCTCCAAGGTGGGCGTCACTTCCTTCGACATCGCGGGAAAGCCCTTTACCGTGGAGGTGATCGATTCGGTGGCCAACTATGTGCGTCACATGGAGGAGATCTTCGACTTTGCCAAGCTGAAGGATTTCGTGAGTGGCAAGGCCACTGGAACGGCGCTGAAAATGCGCATTGATGCCATGAATGGAGTAACTGGCTCCTATGTGCGGGAGATCTTTCTGAACCGCCTGGGCGCCACTGAATCCTCGGTGGTTCACACCACTCCGCTGCCGGATTTCGGTGGCCTGCATCCCGACCCCAATCTGACCTATGCCAAGGATCTGGTGGACACGGTGGCCCAGGGAGACTATGACATTGGAGCTGCCTTCGATGGAGACGGTGACCGCAACATGATCATCGGCAGCAAGGCGTTCTTCGTGACGCCCAGCGATTCGCTGGCCGTGATTGCCCACTATCTGGAGGCCATCCCGTACTTCCAGAAGAATGGTGTTCAGGGATTCGCCCGCAGTATGCCAACTGCTTCCGCTGTGGATTTGGTGGGCAGAAAGCTGGGCAAGGAGGTGTTCGAGGTGCCCACCGGATGGAAGTACTTCGGCAACCTGATGGACGCCGGAAGGCTGTGCCTGTGCGGCGAGGAGAGTTTCGGCACCGGCTCCAATCACATCCGTGAGAAGGACGGCATCTGGGCGGTGCTCGCCTGGATCTCCGTAATGCAGCACACCGGCAAGGGCATCGAGGACATCCTGAAGCAGCACTGGTCGGTGTATGGACGCAACTACTTCACCCGCTACGATTACGAGGAGTGCGCCTCGGATCCTTGCAACGAGATGGTGGCCACCATGGAGAAGACCATCACGTCGCCGGAGTTCGTCGGCAAGAGCTACTCGAGCGGCGGAAAGACCTACAAGGTCAAGGAGGCGGACAACTTCAGCTACACGGATCCGGTGGACAAGTCGGTGGCCACCAAGCAGGGTCTGCGCATCGTCTTCGAGGACGGCAGTCGCATTGTGGTGCGTCTCAGTGGAACTGGCAGCTCGGGAGCCACCGTGCGGTGAGTTTTGAACAGTGTAAAAAACTTGTGTTATTAACATGTTAAATGTCAAAGTGTTAAGTTCAAAAAAAGTTATTGACTTGTGTGTAAAAAATTGTATCCTACATATGTACTTTGTGTTATTTACATGACGAGTTTTTTACACAGCGTGTTTTTAACACAACAAGGTTTTGCCATTAAAGTGTCAGAATTGTTTTTCTAGAGTATAAAAATTCATATAAGCTTTGAAATTGTTAAAACTAACATATAAGATATCACAGCCCATCGTGAAATGTAATTTTCATTTGTGTTAATAACACATTGTGTTTGCTAACAATTTTTTTTTCACATTTGAACACTTTTGTATTTGACACACATGTCAACAATTTTGATCACACTGTAAAATACTATTTTTCATGTTTTAAAATGAGTGTCAATTTCAGAACCCTGGTTTTGAAGGCTGTTATCCTTAGTACTTCTTAAAATAATCGTTGGAAATCTTCTCCTTCCAGCTTGTACATCGATTCCTATGAGAAGGAGAACGTTCTGGGTCAGGCCAGCGTTATGCTGAAGCCCCTGATCGACATCGCCCTGGAGATCTCGCAGCTGCCCAAGTTCACCGGGCGCACTGCTCCCACCGTCATCACGTAAAGAGTTCTTTTCCTGCCCGGAAAGGATCACTGAGATTAGCAACCTATCCAACCCACAATCTCCACTTGTACCTCAGCGAGGCATTTCCTTGTTATGTTTTTCGGATTTATTAAAGTTTGTGTAGCCCCAAACTGTGTGTCCTTATTTTAGAGGTGTGGCTAAATACTCGTACTCGCTGAGTATCATATTGGGAATGCGCTGCTCCAGCACTCGCAGCGGCAATCGAGCGATGCGAGTAAAGGCTAGCAGGAAGTGAAGGGCGGTGACGACCTCGGGACCCAGGATTTCCTTGTCCCTACAAAGAGAAATGTTTTATAAAAATATTCCTAAGTACTATCTCAACTTTACTCACAATAACTGAGCCTCCGAAACCGTCACCACATACTGGCTCATGTAGGATATATACAACATCTTGACATTCCTATGGAACTGTTGCAGGATCGTCACTAGACCCACAATGAAAGGCACATTATCGATATTATCTTTGGCTGATTTTGGCAACAGGCAGTCGGTATTCGTGGAATGCTGCAGACGACCCAAATGGGCGACGGTGAAGAGAAACAGGAACAGCGCCATGTTATGAGTGTTCTTGGTGATGAGAAAGACCTGCTCCAGGGGCTCAAAGTTGCCGGTATAGAGGAGAGTTTCATGCAGTTCAGTCAGCATGGACACTCCCTGCTCATCACAGAGATCCTTGCTGAGCGTGAGCTCCAGCAGAAGGGCCCTAGGTGTAAGGATCGTAAGGATTATAATTTTATAATTTATAATATCTAAATAAGAGCCCTGCGTGAATCATTCAATTTTTGTCTTATCATATGCCATGAACTTTCTGATTTTTTTAATTCAATTCTATGTAAAATAAATTGAATGGTTTTCTAATTCATTTCGAAATGAATGAATGAATTAATAATTTTGTAGAATTGTTTGAATTTGCCAGATTTTTTTGTGATTTCTTTTAAGAACAAAAAGTGAAACATTTTTAACAAACCAATGTTAACTGCATAGTAAATAAAATTCAGGCAGATTTAATCACAAAATTATGGCCCTTTCTTCTTCAAAAGAAATTGTCGTTTGAAATATTTCGATATTCATGCCATTCATTCATTCAATTCTATTAAAATTCAAATTCATTCAATTCTATTAAGCTCAAAATTCTAATTAATTCATTCATATTAAACAAAAAAATTCAAAATAATTCATTGAATCCATTCATGCAGGGCTCTAATCTGAATTTTACTCACTTATTTAGGGTATCAGCTGTGTTCTCTAGCAACTTGGCATCACACTTGCTGCTAAAGCTTAGTTCTCCGGCAATTTCTCGCCGCAGCAGCTGCTTCTGTCCGATGGAAAGCACCCACTCGAGAAGAGTAGGCCACACTTTAAGCCACCGTTGAGTGTAAGCTTGGTAGTACTTCAATGGCTGCTTGGCCACTTCGGGTGAGGGGAAGTCGCGTGCCTCCAGTTCTCTAGTCAAACTGGCCAGAGCATCCACCCACATGCGATCCGACGTGAGGTTTCGCTGTAGCCTTTCAACATTACGCTTCAATTCATCTGCCAACATATGCGCATAGAGGCGTTCCAATCCCACCATACCCGCCGGAGCCAAAGCCTCGCGAAGAATGCCAAAAAAAGCAGATCCAGCCAGCACTTCCTGGTGCGGCGCTTTCTTCTCATACCAGGTGCTCTTGAGGTCCAGGAAAATCGTTTGTTTGGGATCCGTGCAGCGTAGGATTTCGTGGGCCAGGCGACCAATAAAGTTGTTCGAAGGATCACCGACCAGCGGCGGAAAGTTGGGGATGGGAATGATCTGGCTTTGGTGCTCCGATTGAAACTCCTGCACTTTGTTGCGCAGAAAAGCGTTGCACTCCTTCTCCACATTGTAGTTGATGATGCGCTGGGATTCTTCAAGCAGAATGCGCAATCCCTGGACTCTTAAGTAGTCTTCTATATATTCAAACGATCTGCGATATCCCTCAATTGTTTTGGCCAAAGCTTGCAGCTTCTGCTGGAGCAGCTGCACCGGCGTTTTGCCTTTTTCGGGCGTGAAGATAAGTCCCAGATTGTAGGCATTGGCCAGGTGATTTACCAGCTCCTTGCGTATCCCGTCCTCCAGTAGTTGCTTGGGATCTAACTCAATTACTCCCACTAGAGTCGTTTTCATCATGAGGATTCCTTTGGTGAAAACAGCAATTGAGTTGGTCAGCTGAGCCACTTTGGCTCGCTCCTCGAATTGGGCGTAGTCTTTTAAACGCTCCTTTTCCACTCGAGTGGGAAACTCCTTGATCACATTCGTCAGCAAATAGATAATCCTTGCCAGAATGCTAAACATAGTTTCCGGAACTATTTGCAGGACGCGTCGCAGAAAGTTCGCGAGTTCCGTGCTGTAGTAATTGGACACGGAGGCCAGATCCTCGCTTCTGGCCTGGTTGATCCGCATCAGCGGCACCTCCAAAGTGCTGGCCAGTTTGAGGAACACCGCCCGGATGCCAATCACCGCCTGCGGCTGTCGCTTGATGTGCTCCTGCATGAGCGGCGTAAAGTCGCGCTGCAGAAGATGCCAGGCGTAACTGAAGTCGGTGATCATCTGGATGTGGATCTCGATGTCTTCTTTTAGGTTGATGAGCTGGGAAAGGGAATCATTTAGTTAGAAATCTTAAAATCATGGCAGGGATTTACCTACCTGCGCCATCCTATTAAGCATATCCCGGGTTTCCTGCAGCTGCTGCTTGACCAGCATGTTTGAATGCAGATTGTGATACTCCTGCACCTCATCCAAGGCCTGCATCACCTGAATAATCAGCCTGCCGGACTTTTGTGGCCTGCTCAACTCCAGTTTCTGCAGACGGCCGGCCACCTCCTTGAACCACTGCTGCAACTGGGTATTCTGCTCGATTTTGGTCAGAGGTCTAGAGCCCGCAAAGGCCTCACTCAACTCGTTCAACCTCTGCATGGCCTCATCCCTGCTTTTCGTCCAGCGATCCTCTTTGCTCTGCTGAATCTCCGTCAAGAACTCCCTCACACTCAGCTCCATTTGGCTGCAGTTGAGCAACAGGTTGTATAGAATATTCCGATCGAATTGCAGTTCCTGGAGCAATGTTCTTTGGACTTGTCCCGGCACAGTGGCTGTGTGGGCAAAGACGAAAACCTCCTTGGAGGTGTGGAGGCAGAACCAACGAAGCAGCACATTCGATTGCCTCATCATCAGTATGATTTTGTTGGCGTGCTCCAAAACAAAGTCATCACTCAGCACGCCCTCGCGAACAATTTCCTGCGTCTTTAGCATTATCTTTTCCAACTGCTCCTTTTGCTGCTGACAAAGAGCTTTAATCCCCGCTGGACTTGTAACATTTTCTATGGCAGATCGGGCGGCTTTGAAGTCCAACCAGGCATCCACCAGGTTAACAGTAATGCCCATGTACACGGATATAGTCCAGTTGTCGCAGAAGAACTTGTCCACAATCTCACGCATCTGGGAGCCTTGGGTGTGGAGAACTTTCGGGCAGAAGTACAGGCAAACATACAGCATGGCAGCCTGAGTAGAGAGGGCAGTGGATCGATGGGCAGGATGTGGATACAGGGTCAGCTGGTTGTAGATATCATCGCACCGCAGGCGGGCCACCACAAGGTCCACAAAGTTTTCGTCAAAAGGGAAGCGAGAGAAGTAGGCCTCCGGATATCGGGGAACCACCAGGCTGGCAGCTGCAGCAGCCGCCTGTTTGCCACCCAAACTGAGCACTTTAGAAGCCTCTTCAGGATGAACATAGCCCGTGGAGCGGAGGAGCAGGCAGACATCGTGGATATTGCTCTCATCCCCGCTGGGCGTGGCATCACCGCCACTATAACGATAGTAGGCGATCAGCAGACGTTCCCGAACATCTCCCGGCAAATGGAAATCGAGGAGGAGCAGAATCACACCGAACAGGTAGAGGGATTCACAGAGCAGCTGGCGACCCTCCTCCTCCTGGAGCACCGTCTCCAGTGTCTGCTGGATGTAGTAGCCCGTGTTTAGCTCATCGATGAATTGCTTGAGATCGGAGGCATAGTGGTGGATGCTCTGGAAGGCCAGGTAAAATCGGTTGATCAGCGGAAGCTGGGCACGCGCCTCGTCATCCAGTTCGGTCAGTTCCTGGAGAGGATTAAGTGGGTTTTATTGGTCAATTATTACTCAATTATAGACCTTTCCCCTTACCGGACTCTGTTCGATCTTCTTCTCGTGATCCTCGGCCACTTTGAAGTAGCTGAAATCGAGGATTATCTCGCCATATTTCGCCTTATCTGCCTTGTTGTCCAATCTGTAAAGGAGTGGCCTTAAGTAAATCATTGTTTTTAGGCATTCTAATGAACTTTACCTATAAATACTGGGCACATAGTCCTTGAGACGCAGGATTTCCGCTATAATAGAATTACCCACAGATACTATATTCAGCAGATTCTGCCCACAGGCATTATTTTCATCCAGGAACTCGGTCATTGTGCATTTCCTTGGTTCTGGAAATGCCAAGAACCAGATTTCTACGATAATAAATAATAATTTGATCAGTTAAGCGGATAAATTCAGCTTAAATTAGCCCATTTATTACTAATTTTAATCTTTTTAAACTTTTGTTTTTATTTTGGCAATCACTAAGTATGAACGTGTTTAGTTCTCACAAAAATGCATACTAAGTAATGGTCATACTAAACTGATAATATAGGGTTGCCAAGCATTTAAATATTATTGGCGCCAAAGTTTAAATGCAAAAGTAAGAGATAATAATCTGTGGGATCTGAACTGAATAGGACGTATTTCAATATTCAATTATAAAACAAAAACGTTTTACGTACAAAAATCAATCAATTCAAATATCTATTAAAAAATGGCCAATTTGTTAGGTGTTTCTAGTTGAATCCAAATGTAAATTTGGTTCTGTTTATTTTGTGTTAGGTTTTCATTCTATGGGGGGCTACACAAAATTTCAGTAAGATTAATTAACACATAAATGAATATAAAAATATAAATAAAATTAATTAATTCAACTACATAAATTTTAATGATTTAACTAGCTAATTAACTGAGATACCGTTACATATTCCATCCGTCATAAAATAATATTTTGTTTAAGAAAACACTGCGCACTTGGATAAATTCTGCCCACTAACAATTTCCCGTGCTCAGTTGAAGTTTTCTGAATTTTTTCTTTTATTTTTTTTTTGCTTAATGGTAAAACATAATAATAATAATATATATATATATATTCAGTTATATGCCTACCAAACTATGCGCTGTGTTTACGGTTGCGTTTGCCTGTTTTTTGTTTTTCATATTAATTTAATGTACACACAAAGAATTTGTTTTGAATTGTTCCTTTTTGCTTAGTTTTTCTGAATTACATCAATTGTCAATTTATTTGTTATATTTTTGTTTTTTTTTTGGGATTGTATTTTACAAGATTTATGTGGCTAATTGTATAAAATTTGTCTATTTTGTGTGTAGGCCGGGTCGGATTGGGGGCTTGCGGGATTTGGGGAGCCTAGTGAACCGCGTTCTTTAATGGATGAACGAGCGCCACTAAAACATATTTTACTTCGGTGTACTAAGATGTCTGCGTTCCCTCCGTTCCTAGCCATCGAGAATTCGTTAATTACGTTTGCGTTTACCTAGTTATCTATTAGAAAAATCGTATCCTAGCATGTATTTACAATTTGTTGTGTTGTGGTCTTGCCTAACGATTGGTTTCCGTTTATACATTATAGGTAATTAAAAATTACATCGTTTTGTTTAAACAACTATAACTAATTCAATGTATGTTTAAATGGATATTTTTTCGCTTCTGTTTTTGATGAGTTTTATTTTGCTTTAGCTGTTGCTGAACTTGTTTCGATCTCTGGGTTTTAAAAACCATCTATCTGTAATTCGGTTTCGATTTCTCATATTATGGCGCGCGCGCTCTCTTTTCACTTAACATCTAGAAATTATGCTTGGTTTTCGTTTAACAAACTAAGCTAAATAATTAAATATTAATATTTATGTTTATATCGTTTAGATAAGGCCGTCAATGCAGTTGATGCAAACATTATGATACAAATTACAATCAAACGCCCGCTGACTGCGCGTTCTCATTACTTTAATATTCCTCTCTATTATTTTATTCTTTTCGTTTTCGTTACTTTACTCTGGTTTTCTTTTTTGGATTGGTTTGGTTTAAGTTTTACAGACAATTTATTGGGAGAAATAAACGAGCTTTAAATTAGGCTTAAATCAAATACGGTTAGAATTTAGGGTTTAAGTGTGTAAACGTAAATATAGAAACTAAATAGGGCCGCCTAACTAAAAAGAAACAACAAAGGGGGTGAGGAGACGCGACGCAGTTAAATCTGAGGCTAAATAATATTGCAAATGGATGAAATCGTAAAGCTGGAAACACAACGACGACGACGACAGTCCACGGAGTAGGAGAATCAGCGGGAAGAACACGGTGCGAATGATGATGGGCAACAGCAGCGATCACTTGAGGTATGTCTTGAACAGCACGGAGCTGCGACAGAATTCGCGCTCCTGCTCCATGTAGAATAGCATGTCGCGCAGGTTGACACGCTTAATGCGCGGCCGTAACGTCGTTGGCGCAGATCCCGAACTGCTCATCACTCCGCCGCCACTGGAACCCTTTTGTTTGAGAACACAACTTAGTTAATAGCCGTTCTTATCAAATATATTTTAATTAATTTCTTTAAGAATGATTTTAGTAAACATACCACTCCCGCACTGACCGTCTCGCCGTCCAGCTTCAGCTTTTTCCGAGGTCCAATCGCCTGTAACGCCGTCAGATTGGCATCGCGCTGACGCAGCTCCTCCATCTCGGCGCGCTGCATCTCCTTGGCCTAGACAATAAGAGAAAGACGTGAGCAAATGGAGCTCCAGGGAACGGCGTTCGAGATTGCGATCCTACCCTCGCCTTCATCTTGGCCTGCTCGGGATCCTCTACGCGCGACCTCGACTTGGCTGCCCGCAGCAGCATCTCCCGCTCCAGCTCCTCGTGTCGCTTCTGCTCGGCCTTGTCCAGCTCCTCCAGGAACTTGATCTGACCGCGCACATCCTTGGCGGGCTCGTAGCGTGAATCCAACTATTGGAATGAATTATTTAATATTAATTTCTTTTAGAAAAGTTTGCCACCCACCTTGATGACATCAATGCGGTGCTCCGCTATCACAGCCAACTTCTCCACAATATTCTTCAGTCGCTCCTGGCAGGCGTGCGATATCAGAACGGCCACATCCTGCGACGGCTCGTCCAGTCCCGCCTCCGATGTAATGGCCCGTATCCGGGCTTGCAGGGCGGGCAGGTTGAGAAACACTTCATCTTTGCACGAACGAATCTGCGTGCCGATGTTTTCCGTGCAGCCGAGTATGCGCTGCGACTCCTCCGCCAGGTTAACGCCACCCATGGCGGCCACATCGTTGATATCATCGTCGCCGTACATCGAGGACATGGAGCTCTGCTGGAAAAACGAGTTGGCCGCAGCGGCCGACGCTCCGCTCGATGTATTTAGCTTGGCGTCCATTTCCATGGCGTCTCGCTTCTTTTTACCAATCGTCTTGCTGATCGCTGGCGGCGGCCGCGCCATCGTCTTGGCTCCAATCGGCGTCAGCGACGCGTTGATGCGCTCCATGTGCGGCGGCAGCAGTGACGGCGCCTTGATCTCCACCAGCTTCGCTTCGAAGTGATTGTTGTTGTGGTTCAGCGAGTTCTGCATCTGCTCGCGGGCTCGAAGAGCCTCGGGCGGCAGGTGGACCGTGGGTAGCGACGGTATCGGCAGCGATGTGGTCGAGGCGGAGTTTAGAGTGGACAAAACGGAAAGCGTGGGCGTGGGCGGCGGTCCGCCGGAGATGGCGGCCAGCGAGGGCGGGTGCAGGCTGGGCGTAATCGCTTTGATTTGCGTCTGGCCCACCTTGACGGCAGTGAGTTTGTTCGCGGTGGGCACACTGTTTGGAGGCCGGGTGGTGGCCCGGATTTGCACCGATCCCGTGCGCTGCAACTGCGCATGCTGCGGTCCACGAATTTGCACTATATTCTGTAAAGATATATAGTATTGATTAGTTAGAAAGAACAAAAAACCGTCTTAAAACTTTAATTTCAATATATGAGTGATTCTTTGTGAAACGTATCGAGATTTTCTTCATGGTCTCAAAACGATATCTAATTTTTCTGACGCTATCATACCATTTAAAAAGATTTTTAAAAAAGTTTAAAAAAATCTATTTTATTTATTTACAATTTTAAATTACTTGGGATAAAAAATAAATAAACATAACATAAACTATAATTTTGGCCAAGCTTTTAGATAAAAATAACACCCATAATGGTTCCAGTGCAAAATATAGTCCAAACTTAAAGAAAATATTTCATTCGCGGTTTTCTGCAAATCGGCATTTTTAAACTTTATAAATATATATAGAATATAGATATATTCTATACATTATTCTTGTTGGCTCCTGAAAGTTCCGTCATGGGACCTCCATTACTTTCTGCATTATTTAATAAAACAATAAAAAACAAAGCAGTCTTTCATTGTTCCACATTAAATTATATTAGACGAACAGTTTTTGATCTTCATGAATTCCGGGACAACGACCGTTCCGATTTAGGTAAGACTAATAGAAAAAATGCAGTTTGGTATAACAAAGAAATCCCTACAAATTTCAACGTGGGACAATATCTTCTAGCTACTTATTTAGTAGCACGTTAAATCCACTTACCGCCTGTCCAGGCACCTGTAACGATGGAATCTGGGTGCGAATTCCTCCCGTGTTGACGAGTCGCGGTGCCGTGGGCAACCGGATATTGGGCGGCTGCTTCGATATCGTCGTGTGGCCAATGGTGGGTCGCGGCGCGCCCAAGGCATTCGGCGTTATCATGCGCACCTGCGTCTGTCCAATAGTCGTTGTCTGGCTGGGACCGATGGGACGGATTTGCGCTTGAATTTTCTGCAGTAAATCGGAAATTATAATAACAAAATAAAATACTAAAGCCTTTCTTTCGACTTACAGGCAGCTGTTGAGAGAGTCCGGCCAGGCCGAGCACATGCTGCGGCGGTGGTTTGATGCCTTCGATTACCAGCTCCTTGGTGTACAGCGCCTGCCGGAGCAGGGGCAAACTCTTCTTGAGGAATCCAATCAGACATGGCTGCGGGCTGGCGTTGAGCAAGCGCTCCAGGCGGTCACAAAACTCCTCGGGCTCCACATTCGCATTGACCAACTCCTGGATGAGGGTGCGCACATTCTTCTCCACCGGCTTCGGTTCCCGTGTCGACAATTCGATTAAATTGGCTAGAAACTTGCGACACTTTTCTTTGGTATTGCCCTGCTGCGTCGTCGTCGCCGCCGCCGTCGTGCTGCTCACCGCCGTCGCCACTCCTCCCGCGGAGCTTACGTTGTTCACCTGCTGCTGCTGCTGGGATTGCTGGGCCGGTATCGTTTGGATCTGCGTAATCTGCGGCAAGTGCGGCGCCTGCGCAT